ATAAAAAATATTTTTTTTTCTTTCAGTAAACTTAGAGTTTCGTGGCTTCAGGGTGGGAAGAGTTGGAGCATTGGGATGTTTTTCTTACCGACAAGCACAGTCAGGTTGAAGACCTAACCAGGGCCAGAAGTAGCTTTGCACTTTTCTAAACTAGGCTCCTTCAACAAGGCTTGCTGCAGATACTACTGACCAGACAAGTTGTTGACCAGGCACCCCCCAATAGCCCCCCAGTGTGCTCATTAGAGATAGCAGTTGAGAGGACACTCCTATTTTTGGTGCCATTGGTGCCCTGTCCATAGGTTCCCTGACTCTTCCACCACCCCAACCCCCAATCTGAGGGACCGGGAGGTGCGAGGCAGGAAAAAACATTGGATTCTTTAGAGAAGACTAGAGATATCCCGTGATTGTGGCCCAATGATTAGAACTGTGGTGGCACAAGTCTGGCCGCATACCCACCCCAATCCAAAACTGATAATGATATTTTGAAAGACAGGAAAGTGGTACCTGTCTGATCCAGCTCTAGCATAGGTAGGAGTGAGTCCTGAACTGCTGCTAGACTAGACTGGCCTGAGCCACAGAAGATGATGGACCAGAATGAAGTATTATCACCTGCTCACAAGGCATGCTCCCCTAGAGAATAATTCTAAAGAGGTGCCATGGAGGCAGCAGGACAAGGCACAGGCAGGCTGGGTGGGTTCAAGCCAGACCTAATGCCACAGAACAAGAGAGCAGTCTGTGACTAGTAGTTAGGGACTTAGTGGATAGGACAAGGGGCATGGGGGAAGAAAGGAAAATATTCTTCAAATTACTTTCCAATTCTCCTTTAGGAACAGCTTAGAATTATTTGCACTATTGAGTCTTCATATTCCCACTTCAAAACAAACAGATGCTCTGAAAGCAAACTGGCTTGAAATGGTGACACTTTGTCCCACAAGCCACCAGATGTGGCAGTGTTCAGAACTACCTGGATCTGTATATACCTGCGCTTGTTTTAAAGTGGGCTCAGTACATAGGGTTCCCACGAAGCTCCGAAACTCTAAGTGTTTGCTGCAATTTTATAAGGACTTCCTGATTGCTTTCTCTTTTTGCCCTTCCATTTCTACCTTCCATTTCATGCTCTCATTTCTTCCCCATTCTCCTTCCCCTAGCTCCTAGTTGTGTCTTCTGTTCCAGGCAACTGCAGTGCTTACCTGACAGCAGTCAACCATAGCCCGAGGATTCTCCCTGCCCTTTGACTTCCCACTGCCAGTGCCAGCTCTCATGTTTAACTCTGAGCAAGTGCTGGGCTCTGCTGAGTCCTCCCTAGCGTCTGTGAAGAACAAGAGGGCAATAAGCTCTTTCTCCCCCAGGTAGCCCCCTCTTCCTTGCTAAGAAAAAAGTCAAAAGGCTTTTCAGACCCTGAACAATGAGCCTTTTCACCTTCTGCTCTAGAAAAGTAGACTAGAGAAACTGGGCCACGTGTGGTAGCTGAAAGAGATATAGGAGCCCCCTGTGTTCGGCCAGAATCACCAAGTGACCCAACAGGGATTCTGTGCCCACTACCCTTGACCCCACTCAGAAGTCTAATATCAAGCATAGTATGGCAGGGCACCTGACAGAATGGATGCAGACTTGAGCAGGGAGTGACACCAGGGTTCCTTGCTCTTCTGACACATAAACCTGGCAAGATTTTTTTCTAGTGGAATTCTTTCCCTTTTGCTTACTGGAGACTGGGTGGGGCCAGCACACCCCATATTTCAATATGCTCCATAAGTGTAATAGTGGATTTTACAGGCTTGACTTTGCTGTTGGGTTTTAATTGGTCAATTTTCATTTGGGAACCCTATGTTTTAACCTCTGTTCAGGAAGTCCTTATCTAGCTGCATATCTTCATCATATTGGTATATCCTTTTCTGTGTTTACAGAGATGTCTCATATCTAAATCTGTCCAACTGAGAAGTACCTTATCAAAGTAGCAAATGAGACAGCAGTCTTTTGCTTCCAGAAACACCCACAGGCACATCCCATGTAAGCTGCTGCCATGAACTGTCAAATGTGTGTTGTCTTGTGTATTTTCGTTGCCGTTCCCCAGCTTCCTTACTGCAGTATAATCATGGAAGAGTGAAACATCATAGAAATCATCTAGCACTTCCTTGCCAGTCTTTAGTGAACAGGAACCATAGTTGACAGTTCCAATTGATAGCTTAAGATAAAACCATGTTTGTCTCTTCTGGAATGGTTAGAACTAAGTGAGAGATTTTTGCCCTATTCTGTTTGCAGAGTCATAGTTGGGCTTTCTAGCATATTTGTGTCCATTTCCTTGTGCTACAAATGCAAACCTGCAAACCAGCTTCTTGTCAGGCAGTTATTTTGCCTGTTCTGTTGATCCTCAGCCTTCGTTCTGATTCCTCCCCAGGAAGGGAAGAGAGGTCAGAAGAGGGACTCTGGAGGGTTCAGGATATGTCCTCCTCAACTCCTGCTTCCTCCAAGGACAAAAGGCCCCTGCTGCCCCCACCCCACCCCACCCCTGCAGTGGCCTCGCACTCACCAAGGACACCTTTCCATACCTTCACAGCACCTAGCCAGATTGAAATCAAGTTGTTTATTGTGCTCCAATTGGGATTTTGCCTGTTACACTTACTTAGTCCAATGAAATATGACTCCTAGGCTAGGGAATCCCTCATCCTTGGGAGACAACCTAGGCTGATTAGATATTCACAGTTGACATTTTACTACTTTAGCTGCCATTTTCTTTCATTTGAGCCCCAGCTGCAGCCTCCTTACTCCCCAGCTTTCCCTTAGAGCTGGTTTCAAAACTGCAGGTGGTGGTGCCTGCAGCTCCTTAGGATTTTCTTTGCTTCCTGCTTTTTTCCCCATTCCCTCATCCCCCCAAAAAGGGCATCATGAGTCAGTCTCCTTTAAGCAAGCAGCTTTGGTGGGGTTTTGATCTGGCAGCCAGGTTCTCTGGATAGGCTCTCAGGCTGCCTCTACCTTGTAGTCAGGTTGACAGTTTGGAGGGAAAAGCCTTAAGCTATGGGATTGTCACCAGCTGTGTCTGGCTCAGACCTGGAGTGTGACCTTGATTTTGTTGTATTTGAACATTGTAAACATTGGGTGGCATCTTTCATTGAATATGTGAAAAATACAGGAACTGACCAACAGCTTTCAGATAACTGGGGTTAGGTTATTAAGGTCACATCCAGTCTTCCCTACCCTGTTCTAGTTGGTAGTTACTACCTCTCCCAGATAGATTGCTGTATAACCTACAACTATGTTCATCCTGGCCCAGTCCTGCCCATTCTTGGGTTTGTCTTAACCAGTGGAGCTGCTGCCCTTGACAGTGCAATGAGTTGAGAACTCTTGGTCACAGCCAGGCTCTAGTACAGCTCCCTTCGTCTGGTTATGTATTCCCATATCAAAAGGCACAGGGGAGATCTAGAAATAGTACCTCCCCTAATCCATCAGTGCCAAAGTAGCCTGTGATCCTAGCATGGGAACAGAGAACTCTGTTCAGTGCTATCACAACAGACTAGAGGCCACAGACTTTGGCAGTGGGAACCAGAGCAGCCCAAATTGCAGCTGCTTCACCCAGCTTGCTCTTGCTATAACAGTGATAAAAGAGGGTAGTAACCAGAAACTTGACTGCCAAGTTTGGTAGGGAAAGGAGTTTCCATAGCATAAAATCCATGACCTCTGAATTTTAAATAAGTTGTAATAAGTGGCTCAAGCCCACCCAGAAATGAGCAAAAGGGTTGGAACTGACCAGGTGAGACCAGCCAGATTTCATGCATCCCAAGTGGAGTCCAGCTGCCTGAGCTCTACAACACTTCTCTAACTACAGAAAGCATTCCAGCCAGGCTCTACGGCTGAGCAGAGATCACAGGTGCCCGTTCTTCAAGAAGACCTTTGTGCTTATCTTTGCCCCACATTGTTTGCTGATTCGGGTTCACACTACAGATTCTAGGATGGATGGCCAAGACTTGGAGAAAAAAGTTTCTAGAGCCCCTGTAGACCATGGCATAACAAAGTCCCAAGTTGAAGGGGGCTAGGGCAGATGCAGCAATGCCCCATACTTGGACCAAGCCCTCTGATCCATCCACATCCTCTTCTGGCTCTTCCTTCCTGCTCTCTGCTTCAGTGAACCAGCCCCAACTCTGAAGAGATTTGCTGATTCTCTCCAGTTTGATGTCCTTCTCTTTTAGGTACTATATCAATAGAAAAGGCTTAATCTAATTGTTATCAATTGCTAGGATACTGCCTTCCCCAGTGTTTAAAATTACATGCTAAAGGGGAAAATTGAACACTGAAACCAGTTCTCAACAGTTGAGAAGGAAAACTTTGAAAACATTTGGCAAAAAGGTATTAATAATAATAATACATTCTGATGTTTCCAAATAAGAGGAGGCTTTTGCAAAAGAAATTATCTAAAAATACTTAGTTCTTGGCCTGAGATATATGGTGAGTGATCTGGGCAAAGGGAACTCCAAGCTGAAGCCTCCTACATCTGAGGAGATGGAACTAGAAGACTCTTGAGATTCAAGGTCAGATGCCAAAGCTGCATGAGACCAGCTCTTGGTGCATCAAGTGAAACACTCGTCAGTGACCAAGAAGGCCCATCACAGAGTGTCTGTTCTCTTCTCATCTTAACTGAGCCTCTCCCTACCTCTTTAAACCAGCCTGCCTGCCTATTGTGGAGGCATGAGAGTCCATAGAGTGGAGAAGGAGAGGGCAAGCAAGCAGGCAGGCAAGCAGTGGAAAGGCCCTAGGAGGAAGGATAGGCCCCCAGGCTTTGCACAAGCAGTGCTCAGCCCCTCATGAAACTAAGTGTCATCTTTTGAGTTTAAGAACATTTGGGCAACTTGCAAATGACCTTGGCTCCTTGCTCTCCCCTCTCAACTTTTATCAGGTCATGCTTAGCACTGAGAGAAAATGCAGTGAAAATGCAAAGAGGTTTGGCTCCTGCCCCCCTATAGTCCCTCTCTCTGCAGTGTTTGTGTGTCGAGTGGCTAAAGCCATTCTTCCTGGTGACCCTGATTATATCCAGTAACTTATAGACTATATGCATAGGTCTGCTTTGTCTCCTCTATTCTGGGCTTTTGATTTGCTCTTCAGTTTTTCTTTTAGTTTTCCTATTCTTTTTATTTTATGCACCAACTAGACACACAAAGCAGTTGAATTTATATATATATATATGTATGTATGTATATTGCACAATTATAAACTCATTTTGCTTGTGGCAACACACACACACACACACACACACACACACACACACACACAAATGAAGACCTTTTAAAATTATACCTGTTGCTTAATTATAATATTTCTGATAACCATAGAATAGGACAAGGGAAAATAAAAAAAAAAAGACCTCTGTCTGCTGGTCACTTCTTCAGTCCAAGCAGATCTATGATCTTTCCTTGCTTCTTTCAAAGGCTTCCCTGTGCTAAGTGAAAGAAGCTCCAGGCTGCACCCACGCTTTGTACTTTGTTTCTCTTCTGCTGTGAAAGGGGCCCCATAATTCTGGGTACAGGACAGTTCATTTCAGTGTGTCAGGGGTGGGGTGTGGCATGCACACTCCCTTTACCTGCTGAAGTCCAGAACTTAATGGGCACAGCCCCTGTCCCCATCTCTAGGGATGGGGAGCTGGCATGCATGGGGGTAGCCTGACTCCCTCCACCCTTCCCTGGACAGGGAGAGCCTGTATGTAGTAAGTCTGGCAGGCTTCCCCCAATTAGCAGGGCTCAGGGCATTTAAAAACCCGCCTCACTTTGCTGGAGAGGAGATGGGAGGCTTGAGCTGTCTCCAAACTGGTAAGCTGTATTAGTTAGAATGCCAGAGACCCCAGGATCACATCTAACAATCCAATGGGTCTCCTGTAGTAAAGACTCCAGAAACATCCCTTTCTCTTCTCCCTGCTCCCATGAGTAACTGCATTTGCTTTTATAATTCTTGATGAGCAATATCTGCTAGAAAGTTTAGCTGTAACAGTTCTTTTTTGCAAAGGATCATTCTTAAGTAATTGAAAACGCCCCACCCCCCCCAAAAAAAAGTTCAAACCTTGTTCTTCCAAAGCAGAGAACATTATAATCACCAGGGCCAAAATCTGTCCCATACCTCCACCCTACCCCCTCATCATCGCTTCTTCTGAGGCCAGAATATAGCAGAGATAGATATTTGTAGGACCCTTGGGTGGCTGGGCTACCCTTGTGCCACTTGGAAGATGGGCTGGAGAAACCTGTGAGACCCTATGCTA